AGAAAAAATTCAAGAAAGACACGAGTCAGCGGAGCAATTTCGCGAAGTTCGTTTCATTGAGAGTGTCTGTTCATGGCGTGGCGTGGTTGAAGTGGAAGGACCTGTCGTTGCAGGTGAGTGGAATCAGCACAGAGATCTTCAAACAGATCGAGACCGTCGAGAACGATCATGACGCCTCGACAGCAGCGGCCCTCGAAGCTGTCGAGCGAAGGGGTGAGATGGTCGTTCGGGTCATCGAGCCACGACAGATGGGCAGGCAGGCGTCCGAGGCGGCGAAGAAGTTCATTGCGATGCAGGTACGTGATGTGTGTGATCACATCGTCATATCGATAGGATCGACTTGTTGTCCGATGTTATTATTAGTCGTTTCTTCATTACTTTATCGTTTGCAGGATCCGAAGCACCCGATCCACTTTGTCGAGATAATCAAAAGGCCAGGCCAGACGTTGGGCCTGTACATACGGGAGGGGAATGGCGTCGACAGAAACGACGGTGTCTTTATCTCGAGGATAGCCCTGGAGACCGCGGTCTACAATAGCGGTTGCCTGAAGGTTAAGAACTGTCCTCCTTCTTTGCTCCTTAATAGCACCTCTGGTAAAGGCAATTTGAGCTTGCAGCTATTTATGTGGGAATTAGAATCATGGGACTCACTGATATCTCCTTCAAATTGTACACTTGAGGAGCTATAGCTGATGGCATAGAGTCGCAAGACCGAACGATCAACATAGACATTTGTAGACACTTTGTACAAATTTTGATGTATCGTCGTCGAGAATCTCCTTTTATACGCGTATAATGTATCACGCGTGGCATAAAGTGGCATTTCGTTTTAATTAGGTCGGGGATGAGATCCTGGCGGTGAATCTGGTCGACGTGACGCACATGAGCCTGGACGACGTCGTGATCATCATGTCGATACCCAGGAGACTCGTTTTGGCGACGAGGCACGGCCAACACCAGCCGGTCTCGCACAGTCGCCAGACCGAGCACAAGGCGCCTCCTGTTGTGGTGATCAAGAGGGAGCTAAATGAAGATGAGAGCGACCATGCAACTAGCAACCACGTCAGGTAACTAATTGGCCTGCTAATAAATATTTACCAAACACTTAGCTGAACACTCTGTTCTGGGAATTTTTTAATCAATTTCAACGTCCACGCTGAACGTTTTAACTTGGTGTTTTAACTAGAATTTAATTTAAAACTCCTTAGTTTAAGTGGACCTTGAACACTCGAGTGAGAAGTTGTTGAAACGCAAACAAATGAATTGCGATTTTCTGTATTGTTTAATTTCCACTTTCAATTGCAGAGATGGCAATCGTAGACGTGGCGACGGTCGTGAAATGCTGCCCTCTCGGTCGAGGTTGGGACTGTCGGGTCTAGGCTCGAGTCAGGACCTGGGATCCAGCAACGGTGATTTGTACTACAACTCCAGACCCGAGGGACACTGGTCGTATCAGCCACCCCCGCCACCTGTCATCACCCATCAACCGAAACCTTCCGCCACGCAACACTTCCAGCCATACGAGCGTGGATACCCGAAAACATTGGAGAGCTTAGCCGAAAAAGTAAGCCCTTGCGATCCTCTACTCGTTCCTCGGGACTTTGACGCAGGTCGAGGTTTCACCAGATCGGAGAAGAATATCTAGTCTTCGAACGAAGTTCAAGGACTAATTGGAATTGAAATGAACAAAGTCTGCAAGGAAGATAGAGGGAAGGGAGTTTGTAACCAAATTTGTTGAACAAAATTTGCGATTTCAAATCTCCACCTGCGTTTTCGATATAGATCACATAGATGTTCTAGACGATGTGGATCGAGCACCCTTTCATATACCTGTCTGCACCAAGTTGACACTTGTTTGCCCTTCTCTGTCTTCAATTGCGATAGCGATTCGAATAAGAAAGTGGTGAATTCGTGGCAATGTCTCGAGACACTCCTGATATAGTGATCAGTAAAACGCTGCTGCGTACCGTCTCGATTTCCAAGTCTCTCTCTCTGGCCAGATATTCTACAATAACGTTGCAAATGAATGTACATTTCTCTCGTTCTCTGAACACTGCCCGGAATATCGAACTCGTGCAAACGTCGGCTTGGAGAGTAAAAACGGTTCGCAGCGCGTTCGTGTTTCGACCCACGTGTTTCACATGACTAATCGGTTCTATGAATGAATGCTACGTTGATATTAACCAGGATTTCACAAAGGTAAAGAAACCACCAACTCTTTCTTGATATCTAGACTTGTGTTATGCAGCAATCCCCTGCACCGTGCACCACCTGGACAGTGGACAAATATCTACACTTCTCGGAATCTTAACTCTCACTTGCAGCTGTTGTGGCAGCAAGAATTTAGCACGAAAAATTCACTTGTCATTATATAATCGTTTCAGTGACAATTTATAGGTGTCATTTGCCTGTAGAAAGTTCGAAGGAAATTCTAAATATATACATACATGTAATATCTCCAGGTGTCCAGGTGGGACAGACCATCTGTCGCTACTTATAATGTAATCCCACTTTTTGTTGCGTTGTAAGCTTGGCTCTGTATGTTCGTCCTTTCTATTTCTTTCTTTCTCAGTATTGTCTCTTCTCGTGACGATCCGTGGTCGTCATAGTCCATCATAGTGATATGTGGATTTCTATGTAAATTGTAACATCATCCGTATAGAGAGTGATCCATCGATCGTGGTGGCGAAAAGTATCTGATTAGATTCCCCTTCGACTCACGATCGACGTCACCTCGAAATCCAACTCAACTTGCCCTCTACTTAAAAGAAACGCAAATACGAAGTGAGATCGATCGTGAACACGAAGAAGGGAAGAAAATAAAAATAACAAAGACTGATAGACGAAGAGTAAGTTAATTGATTCGATTGAATTTAGGTACACTCGTTCTACACGGGGCCAGTAATGCCCTCGAATGGCGGTCGCCGGATGTCCACGGGCACAGGGATGCAATCGGTCGGCAGCAGATTGTCCAGTCAGACACAGTCGTCGCACTATGGTTACGGCCAACACACCGGAAGCGGCAGAATCATGCCCAGAAGCGGGTCGGATCAGCATTTACCTCGCGTTGACTATACGAGTATCACCACACCAGCTCGACACACTCTTCTTCGATCCAGCTTGAAGTCAGGTCTGTCATTTTCCAAACTCGTTAAAACAATGAGAATCAAATCTGCCAAATTGGCCATCAAAAACATCAGGAAATTGTACAAATAACATGGAGGAGCCAGGTTGAGAATAAACGATCATTCTCCTTATCTGTTCGTAAACTTTAGACTAGTGTTTTACGAACGTGTTTCTTTTCCGCGACAGGAACATCTGCGTTGAGGTACAACACCAGATACGGCAGTCAGGGTGACAGCACTACAGCTACTCAGAGGCAAGGTCAATTTGGCACGTTGACCAGGAGGCATCGGCCGTCGTTGGATTACGCTTCAGACACGGAGGCGACCTGTTCGAGTTCACCCAAATCGGCGTACTATTACTACAGGCACAACATGAACAACCCGCCTCAGAGCAGCGCCGTCTCGCATCTTGCCACCCTGTCGAGGTCGCAGATTGGTCAGAGTTCCTCAGGTTAGTTGCTCCCTCCTGCAACGATCGACGAGTTTGTTTTTTTTTTTTTTTTTT